GCCCCCTCCCACCCCAACTCTGCCTCAGCCCCGCCCCCTCCCTGCCCCATTGGATTCCTCCCCAAATCCCGATCCTGGCCCCGCCCCCACTGCCCCATTGGATCCCTCCCCAAATCCCCGCCCTGGCCCCATGTCTTCCTCAAGCACGCTACATTCCTCCTCCTCACCCCTTCATCCCAGGCTTGCGCTGATCAACTGTATGGCAGCGCAAGCGCTGGAGGGAGGGGGGAGAAGCAGGACACGGCTTTTTTTTCCCCCCGCTCCGCTGGCAGTCCCGGACATTGCGGGGCCCTCTTAGGTGTGGGGCCCCATTCTGGGGAATTGGCCGAATTGGCTTAAAGCCGGCCCTGGATGCAAGGCAGCTTATGTTGACTTAATTATGTCAGTGTCTACACTACAGCCTTGTTCCGCTGAGGTTATTGCCCTACTACACCGACAAACATACATGACATACACAAGAAGTGCAGGGCTTATGTCAGTGTAGTTAGGGTGTTTCAGTGTCTACCTTACATCAGGTGTCTTGTCAATTTCATGGCTCCATACTGCTGCCAGGAGGCTCCCCACTGAGGGAGGTGAGAAGCCTGGGCAGCTGTCCCCCTCCCCCGCTCCCGCCAAGAGCTGGGTGGGGCAACTGAGCGCCAGGTGGGAGGGTTCTTAGCCCACCAAACTGCCCTCTTCAGTCAGAGGAAGTGCTCCTGGTGAGGACATGCATCACTGACAGAAGGAGGGAAGCATGGACAGCCACTGCAGTAATTACTATGCTGACTTTAAGTCGACCTAACATAGGTCAATTTAGGGCTGTAGTGTAGCCATGTCTAAGAGCCTATGCCTGGTCCAGATATTTAAACCTGCCCATCCTTCTTCACTCCACACCCCCAAGAAGTAAAGCCTGCGAACCAGTCGGGTTCACTAACAGAAATTTCACAGAACAAATCACACAGTGAAACAACACTTATTCCCTCTGCTCTCCGGCAGGCAGAAAAGTAATCCAGCTGTGAGTGGGTGACTTGAAAGAAGCAAGAGCAGGGATTTGTTAACCGCAGGAAACTGAGGGTTTATTTGCACCATTCAACCTCCCATGTTTTCCCAAAACATGCATTGCACATTTGTTGTTCTGAGAGGAAGGTGTGGGGGGATATGGACTGAGTAGGTATGTCTACACTGCACACTAAGCTGGGGCATCCACACACAAATCAATCTGACTTGGGTCAGCAACTGCTCAGGACACAGGTCCCAGGACCCTGCAAATGGGGTGGTTCAAAGCCCAAGTCCCAGTGAGACTCAGGTCCAACCCCTGTCATTTTGCAGAGTACACCCAGGTCAAGCTGCAGACTGAAGCCAGGTCTGGGTAGTGCAGTATGAATACATTAGCATGGCTGAGAGACCTGGGTTCAGCAATTGTAAACCCACGTTTAGAATGCAGTGTGGACGATCAAGCATGGGCTTGGAAACACCAAGTCCACAAACCTGGGTCCCACAGACCCGGGCTTAGTGTGCAGTGTAGACATACCCAATAAGGCTTCCACTTTGCCATTCTTTTGACTAGCTTGGCCCTCACCAAGCTTGAATGCAGGACCCTCCAGAGCTTGCATGGTACAGAATTTCAGAAATTTTCAGCTGGATGGAACCTACACTGGAGCAAATGTACAAGAATTATTTAATAACTATTAGAAGAGATCCCTTTGAAATACCAAGGCAAAATCTATACGACCCAATATAGTTTTGAAATGATCAGAAAAATATGAAATCAGAGAGGAAGTGTAGTTGAAAGTAATGATACGTATGGAGGCCACACCTGAATTCTATTCCAGACAAAAACGTTTTGATATATTTTAAGCATGGTAGAGTTAAGACCAAAAATGTGAGAATGGGGATGTTTAGTCACAGTGTATCTTCTCCTTGCAATTTGTGTTTTCTGTTTATAGGGTGACTAGATGTCCCGATTTTATAGGGACAGTCCCGAGTTTTGGGTCTTTCTTATATAGGCTCCTATTACCCCCCACCCTCTGACCTGATTTGTCACACTTGCTGTCTGGTCACCCTATCTGTTTATATGATACAGAGATGTTTTGAATACTTACTATAACTGTCACTGTAAATCAATAAAAATGTACAGTAAAAGCTTTGTCATCAGGCATGTTGGGGAATGGGGGGAGCCAGTTGGTCAAAAATTCTGGTTAACTCAGAGTTATACTTACCAATGGAGGGAGTTTGGGTGTGGGAGAGGGCTCAGGCACAGAAGGGGGTGTGGGACACGGACTCTGGGATGGAGTTTGGGTGTGGGAGGGGGCTCGGGGCAGGGATATGGGAGGGGTTTCAGGGTGCTGGATCCAAGCGGTGCTCACCTCAGGTGACTCCCTGCAAATGACGACATGTCCCTGCTGCTCCTAGGTGGAGGCCTGGTCAGGGAGCTCTGCGCGCTGCCTCAGCCCGCAGGCGCCGCCCCCACAGCTCCTATTGGCCATGGTTCCTGGGCAATGGGAGCTGCGGAGCCAGCACTTATGGCAGGGGCAGCCGCAGTGCACAGATACCCAGTGGCTGTTCCTCTGCCTAGGAGCAGCAGGGACATATTGCTGCTTCCAGGGAGCCACGCGGAGCCAGGAAGGGAGCCTGCTGGCCCTGCACGAAGCGGACTTTTAATGGTCTGGTCAGTGGTGCTGACCGGAGCCATCAGGGTCCCTTTTTGACCAGGATTCCAGTCAAAAACTGGACACCTGGCAACCCTATGAAGATTTGTATAGGGAGATATCAAATGCCAATTTGTAGAGCTTTCCGATTGGTAAAGTGCTGGATAACACAGCTTTTATTGTACTTAGATAACTGTAATGTAACCTGCAGACAGAACTCATATTTAGCATTAAAAAGTTATCTGAAGCAAAGTACATGCAGGACACTTACTTAAACAGTATTATAGATGATACCATATCAATTGCTTAACATGATGCATCCTAAGGAAACCATTCACTTTTCTATAGGCTATTATTAATTATTATTTTAAGTATTACTGTAGTGCCTAGTCATGTCTGATATTTTCTATCTTTAATGAGTCCCTCAGTAATTTCTTAGCTGTTGTACATTTGGGGGAGCATTTGTGACGGGTAGTAGAGACCCTATGAGGTCCCAAAAGAGGCTCCCTGATTGCCCCATATAGCAATGATTTGTTTATAACTTGATAGGAAGAGTTACACTCTACTTAATGAAGTTAGGATTTCCACAGGATGAGAGCTTCAAGCTTTTAGAACACTGTCCTGTAACAACAATATTTGCCATTTTATACTACATGTATGTTATTTTATTCTCAGTGGTCTGGAGTCACTGGTTTACAGCCCAGTTCTGACAGGTGTGGAGCACTCTGGCCCTGATCCATCAAAAACAGGCATGTCCTTAATGCTCAGCACGGGACTAGTTCCAGGGACATAAATGCTTTGCTGGATCAGGGCAAGAGAGCTCAGCACCTTTCAGCATCAAGCCCATATTTAATATTTGTTAATAAAAATGGTGTTTTGCCATAGGAAACATGGGTTGGAGCCTCAGCCAGTATAAACTGGCACAGCTCCACTGGCTTTGAGCAATGCAGGCCAGTTTACACAGCTGGGGATTCCCGCCCTAGGTCTTTCCAACTTTCCAACTGAAATTCTTCTTTAGTTCTGATGTCCCATGACTTAGAATTGCAAACAATCAATCATTGTAATGCACATGGAGTATTATTAAAATATTGGTAGAGGGCCCTCACCTGTACTGCCCAGTGAAGAGCTGTTTTAAAGTCTTTGTCCACCAGAGTTGGATCTGCTCCTTTCTGCAGTAGGGTTTGCACATGCTGGGGCCGATTGTGGAAAGCAGCCCAGTGAAGTGCAGTCATTCCCTTAATAAACAAATAAATAAAAATCACAATCCAAGACAGTAAAGAATTATCGTTCACAGGAAGATTTAAAACTTCAAAGGATTTAATTTTCCTTTTAATTAGAGATGAGTTGGACAAATTTGGAGATCAATCTGGAGTGGGGAAATCCACCTTTTTAGGATTGAATAATTTGAAGCAGTTTCTGGCTTAATGGGGTTGTATCAAAAAAAGAAGTGGCCAATAAAAAAAATTGACTACTATAGAAGACTGATATAAAAGAGGCATGTATCTAATATTTGTAAATGTTTATAGCTTGCTTATATTATAAGTAATACATCAGTCAGAAGTATAATAGGTTACTCATAGGTTAAGGTTTCATACAGTTTCCAATAGAAAGCCCTTTTTAGGCTTGTATTTTATCACAATGCAACAGGCCTTATCTCTAACTCACAATAATTACTATGGGCTAGATTCTCAGCTGGTGTAAAGCAGTCTAGCCCCACTGATTTCAGTTTGTGCCAGCTGAGAAAGTGGGCCAATTATTTTAATAGTAATCTCAAAATAAAAACACATCACAGGCACCATTTTGAAAGAGAACAAAAAAACAAAACGAACGGAGAACTTGATTCTCTGCTCTAGCCAAGCTGTCCTTATACAGTGCAAACTGGTCTTAGCAGACCAAGAAACCACCTTGTATGTGCACATTAATCAGCATCAAAAGCAAGTCCACATGCACACTTTAAATCTATGTTACACACTTTTCCTATCAAGTTATCTAAGCAACATCAGTCTTAAGAAACATAATATAAGCACCATTTTATTGGTGTTTGTTATACACCCACCTTGCAGGCATCAATGACTACACAATGTGTAGG